CAGTTCTCTGCTGATGTGCTGTTCTAATCGTTTTTGGATAATCTTCAGTAGAATCTTGCTTGCATGTGAAATCAATGACACTCTTCTGTAGTTTCCACACTCAGTTGGATCACCCTTCTTTGGAATGGTAGCAAATATAGATCTCTTCCAGTCAGTCGGCCAAGTGGTTGTTCTCCAGATTTCTCCAGAGGTACATAGTTCAAATCCACCAGATGCTCTGCCGGAGAAGGAGGGACGGTTTCCTCCTGTACCAGTCAGATCTGATTTGATGGTACATGCACAAAAAATAATAAAATAAAAAGAATGCGTGTGCCGCCTGCATTGTATTGGTTATGCAAAGGCATTGACTATGTGGATCATAAATTATGACTAACATTTCAAAGACTGGCAATTTCGGAATCCTTAATTGTGCTCATGCAGACCCTGTAACAAATGGACATGATGTGGTTTAAAATCGAAGATGTGTGTCCTCTCCTCCAGACCTGATCAGTCTGTATGCTGAGTGAAGAATCGAGAAGCGTATATGAAGCTTCTTGTATGACTGCATGAAGAAGGTGGCATCGGACTTGAAGGAAGACTCCTTAACAACTTGCAATATGCTGATCGCCCAGCCTCACACAAGGAGGATTTTAAGAACTTACTGATGAAATCCAGAGACTCTGGCCTTCAATATTACATTTACATTTTAACACAGAGAAAACAAAACTTGTCACCATTGGACAAATCGACAATATCATGATAAACAGACAAAAATTGAAGCTGTCAAGGATTTCATTTACTTGGATCCACGCAGTGCCTTGGAAGGAGCAGTCAGGAAGTCAAAGGATGAATGGCAGAAGGTGAATCTGCCATCCAGAATCCCCATAAAGTGCTCAGGAGCTCGGAGGTGACTTAGAGAACGAAGGTGCACCTGACCACGTCATTGTATTTTCAGTCGCTTCATATGGATGTAAACAGTGGGCTTGGGGTGTGGCAGAGGCCTAGATGGTGGTGCAGGATGGGCGACAAGGTGCCAGTCTGTTCTTCGTTTGCTGTGAGTCACAGCCAGCTCATTGGGATGTAAAAACAACATGTTTATGTGAAGGTTGGACAATGAATAAGGAAGGCCAGAAAGAACTGATGCCTTTGAATTGTGGTTTTGTCAAAAAGAGTATGGAATAGCTCATGGACTGGCAGAAGTTGGGGAAGAATGGGAATGGCCCATGGACTGGCAGAAGGTGGTGAAGAGTGTGGCATGGCCCATAGACTGGCAGAAGAACAAGCAGACCTGTCTTGGAAGAAATGCAGCAGAATGCAGCTTCGAAGCAAAGGTGGGGGACATCCTCTCACACATTAGGCATGTTGCCAGGAAGGGCCGGTCCTTGGAGAAAGACATCAGCAAGACAGTTTGACACCGTGGCTACAGCGATGGACTTAAGTACAATGGCCCAGGGTCAGGGATGCCCTGTCACTGTGAGTCTGAACTACTCAATGGCCCTTAACAGCAATAGGGATTAAAGAAGGAGGAGCCCTGGTGGTCTGACCCTCAGCAGTTCGGTGGGAGCAGAGGCCCGGCGACCCTGGCTGCTGTCAGGCCGGGTTGCTGTGAACTGGCATCACCAGCATCAGCTGCCCAGCACTGAGCCTCTGTATGTGTTTGACCATGTGTCTTTTCTCTGGAAAAATACCTGTTCATGTCCTTGGCTATTTTAAATTGTTTTTGTTTTCGTGGTTGAGTTGTTAGTCTTATTCTTCACTTGTTCTGCACATTAATCCTTTATCAGAGGACCTCTGGTGACACAAACGGATAACTGTCCAGTTGCTAACAACTTTAGGCCCCTAACAAGAACAACAATCCTTTATCAGATGTGCACTTTGCAAATGGTCTCCTCCCTTCTGCACGCTGTCTTTTCACTCCCCCAGCAATGTCCTTTGATGCATAAACGTTTTTCATTTTTGTGAAGACCAATTTTTTCCCTTTCCTTTCTGGTGCTTTTGATGTTATTAAGAAAACATTGTCAAATCCAAGGTCATAAATATGTTCCCTCATCTTGTATTTATGAGTGTTTTCAGACTTAGGTCTTAATCCATTTTGAGTTTGATGTTTGTGGGGTTTGTTTTTAAAAAAAACATATGGTGTGAGGTAAGGATCTAACGTCATGTCTTCGCATATGGATACGCCATTGTCCCAGCACCGATTTGTTGAAGAGACTTTTGCCCCTCGGTTAATGGCACTCTTGTTGACATACAGCTTCTGGGCTCTCATCTCTACTCCAGTGGTTTGTATTTCTGTATTGGTGAGAATGCTTGGGGAAATAACTACCACATGAGACTGAGATGACAGACATCATGCACGTTGTAGAGGATTGCACACGGCTCAGGTCTGTTGTTCATACGGTCACTGTGGGTCCTAAGCAACTCAGAGGCACCTAACAGTGTCAGAACCACAGTTTTAACGACTGTTCCTTTGTAGTAGGTTTTGAAATCAGGATAAATGAGTCTTTCCAAATTTGTCCTTTTTTCAAGATTTTCCTGGCTATGGTAGGACCCTAGGATTCCATTATAATTTTATGGACGAGTCTTTCTGTTTATGCGAAGAAAAAAATAAGTTCTTGGTAATTTTCTATGGGTTGCATCAAATCTGTACATCACTACAGACAGTCTTTCAGCTTAACACTTAAGGTAGTGCAAACACGTGCTTAGTGTGCCCACCTGCTACCTGAAAGAGGACTGAGTCCAGTCTCAGGGTAGAGACCTCGTGGCTGGAGAATGCGCCGTTGGCATGAGGGTAGAGTTCTACCCGACACACTTGGACAAGGGGTTGCAATGAGTCAAAAGTGACGCAACCAGAAGTCAGTTATAAGATACAAGTCCTTGTATCACCGAGCCAGGGTGCCTTTCTGCTTATGTATGTCATCTTTAACTTCTTTCAACCGTGTTTTATCATTTTACACTCCTTTGGTTTAAGTTACTCCTTAAGTGTTCTTTTTATCAACTTCTAGTTTCCATGTAAATTGTTTGTTGTTAGTATATAGAAGCATGGTGTGTGTGGGTGTGTGTGTGTGTGTGTATCTGCAACTTGCTAAATCCCTTCACTAGCTCTAACGGGTTTTCCGTGGATTCTGCCTAGTGGATAAGAGCTGAGCTGGGCCAGCAGCTGCGCCACCAGTTGAAGACGGGCAGGCTCCTCCCATGAGATTTTCAGCCTCTGAAAACCTGCTGGAGGGTCAACTGTGAGTCGGTTCCGACTCGATGGTTCACGACTACACGTATGATGGGATCATCTGTGGATGGGAGTAGTTTTACTTCTTCCTTTCCAGGTTGGATGTTTGATTCTTCTTGCTCTTACCTGAAGGACCCAGCTAGGGTCTCCAGTACTGAGAGTGGGCTTCCTTACCTCATTCTTCACTTTAAAGGATCTAGTGACTTTTGGACATGACCTTGTGTTCTTCAAGCCTTCCCTTGCTTTCTGACGTCACTAAATGCCCCCTCTTCTCTGTCCTCTCCCTGCCCACGTCTGAAACCACACCTTACTCCAGCAGCCCGATTCTTTTCATGGAGGATGGGTGGCCATCAAGCCATGGGCAGTGCTGAGAGCCACCTGGCTCCTGCTGCTCCCAGGCGCCCCCAGTGGACAGAGCCAGCTACAGATGGGGGAGGTCAGAACTGCCCCCAGCAGCTCTCGTCTGGTGCCCTACTTTTCCCTCCGTTTTTGTAACTTCCTTCCTTACGGTGAGAGATCTGGCCTCATTACCCTTCGGAGGTCTGGGATCCACCATGCCCCACATACTGCTGCCTCCGTCCCTTTTCACCCAACCAGGGCTGACCCTCGGGACCACAGTGTCCTGCCAATCATGGGGATAGCAGCCGTCCACCCCACCCATGTCCTGCTCCTTGCTCCTTCTGAAGCCCTTGACAATGAGTCCTGAAGGGTCAGCCCTGGACTGGGCTGGACAGGTGACACCAGGACTCTAACACACACGTCCCTCTCACTGTCTCCTCCCCGACCTGTGCTCACCCTGCTTCATGGACCACACTCTCTCCTGCCCACCTAGGGTCAGAGCATGCTAGAATATTCTCTGCCTGGATTTACCTTTGCAGGTGAGAAGCACTGCCCTCTGGGGCCTCAAGTGAGTTCAGGGAGAGGTTAAAGGTCAACTTCCAAGCTCTGTGGGGCAGAAGGAGCCCAAGGAAAGGGAAGAGTGGTGTGTGGATGGACATACAGGTGTTGATGTGTAGGTGGATGCGTGAACACGTGTACATATGGATGGGAGTACAGATGAATGGATAGATGGACATCTGCAGGTGACCAGACTGTGGAAGCGATATCTTTATGACGGCTTAATCACACCCGGGTACCTCCCTCTGTGACTGTAAACATCGAACATTGCTCCAAAGCCTCAGGGTCTTATGTCCTGGGGGCCTTTCTCGGCCTGCACTCAGTTTCCCAGGGCAGCACTTGAGTCTGAAATGTCCATGTCTGAGGCTTGACTCTGCGCCTGTGTGGAGTTGGCACTCCCTCTCACGCTGCTGTGCTCAGACTGACGTGGTTGTGGCAGGTCCTAGTAGAGGGAAACACATGCTTTCAGACTGTTGAGGTTTGTGCATCTCGTCTGGGAAGCGGGCGGGGACCTGCCTGCAAGCCCTGGTTCTGATTCTACTGTCTTAGAGAGCTTGGCATCTTTGGGTTCAGGCAGGGCTAAGATTGGAAGTGCTGTTGCGTGCTTGTCCCATGCAGATGGGGAGGCTCTGGCCGTGGGCGTGGGCCTCGGTGGTGCATGTGTGCGCACGTGCTCACACCCTCACACAGATGCACGCGCATACACGTATGCACACATAGATGTGTGTGCACAGGTTCGTTCATGCCCTTGCACACACACATTCACACTTGCCTGTGTCCATGTGTGTACATGTACATACTTAAACACCCTTTTGTATACACTGCTCATACACACACCTGTGTGTTCAAATTCTTGTGCTTAGGCACCACTAGGCACTCACATCTGCACGTCCACACACCCATCACACACATCTGTGCACGCACACGTCCACGCACCATGTCCACAAGCTCATGCTGACCTCTCACCCTGCAGAGGAGGAGGAGGAAGACGTGCTGGCCTTCAATCTGCAGCACCTGGCCACGCTGGCCACAGCCTGGTCCCTGGTGGAGGCCGCAAGGCTGGAGACCCCTGCCCCCGCTGCCCCAGCCCCCACTGTCGATCCCCGTGGGGAGCCCACGCTCACCCCCCGAATGCAGATCCTACAGCGCAAGGACACCTGGACCCCCAAAACCAAACCTGTGAGTGGGGGGCCCTGTGTGTCATGGTGCCAGCTGCATGGGAAAGCGCAAACCCCGTGGGGGGGGGCCCTGCCGCTCCCCACAGAGCTGCCCACCAGTCCCTGCCCCCAAGATGCCATTTCTACTCCCGACTCTGTGCCGCACCCACCAGGTGTGCCCACTCAAGGCGGCCATCGAGCGGCTGGACACACAGGAGGTGGAGATGCGGGTGCAGCTGGCTGAGCTGCAGCGACGATACAAGGAGAAACAGCGGGAGCTGGCACGGCTGCAGCGCAGACACGACCACGAGTGCGGGCGAGGGGGAC